CAGGAAGCATGCTTGCTAAAGTTTTTTTCCTTTATGAATTATTTCTACCTTCTCTAGCACACAGGAAGATGGTATATGACCCTGTGCCACGTGCTCTGAGTGACCCTCCATGTGCAGGGGGAGTTGGACTAAATGATCTCCAGAGGTCCTTTCCAACCTTAACAATTCTGTGATTCTGCGGTTCTATGAAACACAGAGAAAAACAACAGTTAGAGGCCTTATACTTGGGATTTTGTCAGTGAATAAGACCAAGGATGCTACTGCAATCAGTTACCTGAATCGTTACCTGATCCATACTAAAATTAAGAAAACAATTTTTGCTTTTCTTTGTTTTATTTAACTATGTCTTTCTAACTCAAACTCTAAAGAAACAGTGTTTCCTCAAAGATGCCCTCCCATCTCCTTTTGCCTCCAAGCTCTCTGTTTTTCACATCCTGTTCAAGATCTGTTTACTCACACTAAAATGACCTGCTATTGATGATCAAAACAAAATGTTGAGATATTATGTTCAGGCTTCTTTTTCAGATTATTGTTATGTAGCTAAGGTCTAGAGTTAAAAAAGGATCCAATCATTATAATGTAGAGCTTTGTGATATCTGAAATTTAGATATCTGGTCACAGAAGTGAACTCCACTTATCTGTGTTTACCTTTTAATCTCGGTAAACTACACATAAAAAAATAAAAGGCTTTTGCAAAGGGATCCAAAAGAAGTACACTGAACGAGTAGTCAGCCAGGAAAGTCTAAAAAAAGAAAGAGTATTTGTTGAGTTTCATCTTTTCTGGGACAGAGGCACTTTACTCACATCCTTATGGAAGAGTTTGAGTTTGGTAAGGATGTGGAGCCCAAGCCCTCTTCTGCTTTCCCTGATGGGGAAAAGACAATCCTTTCCCACAGAAATGAGGATGTTTTCCTGATCCATATTCCAAGCAAACCATGCTAACATTCTGCTTCTAGACTTCAAGCTATTTTGGTGTTGAATGGGTGATGAGTGATAAAAATTGGTTTCTCCTCTTGAAACTAGAGACCAGTCTTTCCTGTCTTTATTCCACTGAGCATTTACTATGGATAATGAAATTTTAACTAGAGCAAGAATAGAGCGTCAGCACTTCCTTCTCTTGGGAAAGCACTCTAACCACTAGACAGTGAAGTCTCACACAGCCTTATCACTCCCAATTAATATTTAATAGTTCCATAGGAAGAGAAATTGATCTTGAGGATCAAATGGACTTCCATTCCAGCACCTACAGTCTTTCAGAAGGTAAAAAATGTGTTTGGACCCATCCTCAAAATGAAGGAACTGAATCTGTGTCTCCTGATTTCTGGATGGTGATCTGACCCTCGAGTTAGGAGAAGAGAGCAAGCCAAGGTGTCTTTAGCCATGTTGCACCTGAAGACTAATTTGACAGGCGCACACTTGGTGAAAACTTAGGTGCAAAAACCTCTCCCCGCCAAATTCTGCTATTTTAATTCTGGTAATTTGAGCCAAAAAACAGAAAATGAGTCTCTTTCTAACATGTTATGGATAGAATTTGAGGAAACTCTACATTAAACTGGGACTTTGCTAAGACAACTAGTGTTTTCTGATAGTGCTGCCTCTGAGGCTGTGCTGTGCAGAGGTTGCAGTAACTGCCATTTCAGCTGTCTCCAGACAGTAAACACCAGGAGATAACAGAAATCATTCTTTTCCCCATGGATTTATTATTTTTACCTCATTGCAAACTGCAAGATGGCACTAATTCATGTGAATGGTAGATGATTAACTTCAGGACTGAGAGAATCAAAATAGAAGTGTCTTTATGAATAAAACTTTATGGAGCTAAAGTAAACCTTGTTGAAATCACATTGCATTGTTCTAAAGATACCTGCTCAATTCCGTTTTAGCAGTTGATATCAAGTACCTAGCTTATGTTTATCTCAATTACTACACTGTGTTTTTACTTGCTTAGGATTTCTGTGATTTACTTGTGGTTGAATTTTTAATCCACTTTCAATGGAAACACTTTTGTTGGGTTGAGAAATACTTAATGTTTAGTGCCTAGGATTCCTTATTTCTGATCTAAGGAGATGTTTCTTCTTGATTATGCTCTGTTGTTTAGTAATTTGTGTAGATTTGCAAAATTTGTTCTCTGAGACTGGTAGGATAAAAGCATTGTTTTGTGTTTTTTTCTTTTTCTTAAAACAATACTGAAGCATAGCAGTAGGTAATCCTATTTTCCAAAACACTGAGTGTCCACCAATTCAGCAAGGAAAAATCCAACAAGGAATGCATAGAAGAAGCCAACCTGTTCTGAAGTCTTTTTTCTCTCTTTATAATTAGGTAGCAATACCTGGCACCATAACAGCTGCCTATACATGTTCTAAAGCTTTGAATAAATACATATTTTAAAGCTATGAAGAACAAGGGTAAAATTCATTGAAGTGATCGCAATTTTGTTATTGACTTGAAGGGTTTCTGGATTTTATCCCAAGGAAAGTTAATGATTAATTCCATATACTTGTTTTGACAAGAATAAATTAGGAAAGTAGAAAACAATGTAGACTGTCAATAAAAACATTCAGATCCTCTAACACCAGCTGTGGCAATGGATTTTAAATCAAAGAATGATATTCTCATTGCTAAGAGAAATAACCAGTATTCTTTTCAGGTAAGGAAACAACTGAAGAATACTACTTATTAATGACTTATTAATGGTTAATTGTCTAGTCTTTTCAAACAAAAAGCACTAGTATATGCATAAGGCAAATGAGTCTTTCAGTTTACAAGATATCTCTGGCAAATTATTCAGTGGTAATGTACAGATACACCTTTCATTCTCATCAGAAAATGGGTATTAACAAGCAGACATGTGGGATGAACAACAGCTAAGTGGTACTTTATGATATAAATGATCAAGGTTGTTGTAGGAAAGAAAATTTCATGGCATGAAATACCATTTTGTACATATTAAAAACAAGTGAAACTCTGTGACTTAGCTGCTCAGGACTGCTGAGGGTAGGTGAGAATGGGCCAGGAACCTTCCTGTCCAGGCTCTGTAGCAATTGCAGATCTGTTTGCTAATTGCGCACACACAATAGCTCACTTTAGTTGGTACCATGTGAAAATCCTTCAGTGCCCTTATTACCCTGCGAGGTACCTGTAAGGAAGTGTCTGCAGTCCATGCAAAGGGAGGTGGGGGACAAATATCTTTTCTTGAAAGAAAAAAAAAAGGAATAAAAAGCATTTCTGTGAAAAAGATGACAGCTTGATTGTCTGCTATTAAAACCACAATACTATCTAGCACAAAGCAAAGCCTAATTTCAGGCAAGCTAGACATCAGTGCAAAGGACATACCTGCACACTTTGGAAGAAAAGGAAACTCACCCAGACTCTCAAAAACAGTATCTCTGCTTTTGTAGTATGTTGATTTCATAACATATGCTCAGATACATAATGATGGCTTAGTTGTGATTTACATCATAGTTTTAACAAAAAAGAAATAAAAATATGATAGATTTCTGAATAGACTTTGCATATATTAGGAAGAATAGACATACAAACAAAAAAAGACTTCAGTAACTGTTGCAATATGTCTGACGGTTTCTTCTCTAAGCATCTGAAACTTACGAGTTTCACATGAAGACATGTTTTATATAGAAAACATCAGTAAATAAGAACAGGTTCAGTTGTAAACAGTACAAGAAAATACAATGTTCATTAATCACTGGAAAGTTAAGGTTACTCGATAAGACCTTTTCTAGAAAAATCAAAATTTTGTGTGAAAGAACCCGGTGCCTCTCATAGACGTGTTCAGGATACCCAGAAACCTGAAAGTGCAGTTTTTTCCCAGACTCATACTACCACAAGAAAAATAGAATACCCATAAGAAATGAAATCCCAAGTCTAATAGTAAGACTTCTAAAAAATGTAGCAACATAATTATTGACTGTCTGAAAAACATAGTGCTTACATCTAAGGATGGAGAAATGCAACAAAGGCAGCTAAAGGTAGCTACATGCAACTGTGAGGTTGACTTTCTATTATGCTCTAGAGAAAAAGAATAAAGTCAGGGAACTAATAATAATATGAGACCATATACAGCAAGAGCATATCATTGCATATTATCTTGATATATTTTTCCAGTAATTGCTGGACAGAACAAGTGTAACACACCTCAGAAGGCCTTTTGTGTGGATATCTGCCAACTGCAATACAAGCAATTCCTTGCCAAAAGACACTTGTGCATTAACTGATGATATTGTAAACGGGAAGACATGCATATTCTCAAAAGCTAGTCAGACAGTTGAGGGAAATACAGGGTATTTCAGCCCATGAGGGAGGCTGAACAGTTTGTGCTGCCTTCCAGCATTGAGGGCAACGAAGTGGGAGAGAGGAAATATGGCAGGATTTGGGGGTATTTGCAACACAAGTGCAAGAAGGAGGGGCACTGTGCTTGCAAGAGTTGGGAGGCAAGGGACATGGTGGCACATCTGGGAATGGAAATAGAGTGATGTATTAGATTGGTATCAAAACAGTGGATACACATACTGCATTATGTGGTATCACTCCATTCTTCAAAAAGAGCAAGAGGGAGGAGCCAGGCAACTACAGACCTGTCAGCCCCACCTCCATCCCTGGAAAGGTGATGGAGCAGCTCGTCCTAGGCACATCAAGGAAAAAAGGTGATGAGGAGTAGTCAGCACAGATTCACCAAGGGAAAGTCATGTCTGATGAACCTGATAGCCTTCTATGATGAGGTGACCAGCTGGATGGACGATGGGAGAGCCGTGGATGTTGCCTACCTTGACTTCAGCAAAGCTTTCAACGCATAACATCCTCATAGGAAAGCTTAGGAAGTGTGGGTTGGATGAGTGGTCTGTGAAGCGGATTGAGAACTGGCTGGATGGCAGAGCCCAGAGGGTGGTGATAAATGGAGCTGACTCTAGTTGGAGGTCTGTGGCCAGTGGTGTCCCACCACTGGGCTTGGTGCTCTTCAACTTGTTCATCAATGACTTGGACGAGGGCACAGAGTGCACCCTCAGCAAGTTTGCAGATGACACCAAACTGGGAGGAGTGGCTGACACTCCTGAGGGCTGTGCTGCCATTCAGAGAGACCTAGACAGGATGGAGAGTTGGGCAGAGAGGAACCTCATGAGGTTCAACAAGGACAAGTGCAGGGTCCTGCACCTGGGGAGGAATAACCCCAGGCACCAGGACAGATTAGGGGCTGACCTGCTGGAAAGCAGCTCTGCAGAGAGAGATTTGGGAGTCCTGGTTGATAACAGGTTAATCATGAGCCAGCAATGTGCCCCCGTGGCCAAGAAGGCCAATGGGATCCTGGCCTGCACCAGGAGGAGCGTTACCTGAGGTGTGATTGTAGGGAGGATGGGGCCAGGCTTTTCTCCGTGGTGGCCTGTGACAGCACGAGGGGTAATGGGTGTAAACTGAAACACAGGAAGTTCCATCTCCATATGACAAAGAACGTCTTTACTGTGAGGATGACAGAGTCCTGGAACAGGTTGCCCAAAGAGGTTGTGGAGTCTCCTTCTCTGGAGATCTTCCAAGCCCACCTGGATGCCACCCTGTGCCACGTGCTCCAGGTGACCCTGCTAGAGCAGGGGGGTTGGACTGGATGATCTCTAGAGGCGCCTTCCAACTCTAAGCATTCTGTGAGTCTGTGATTCTGTATGTAATGTGATCCTATTGTATTGGGTATTTGGTGCTGCTGGTATAGGTAATTGAGGTTTATATTAAGCCACCCTTTCATTCCTTCTGAATATTTTGCTTTTATTTGCTCTATGATTGCAAATACAAGAAATCTCTCTATCTCATAGGGTACACTTTTGGAACACTTTCTAATAGGAAGGAAGTATAGAGGAGTTGGATTCTTTAGTTTATTTTCTCCTCTGCCTGTTCCCCAAAAGATATCCTAAGATGTTGGGATTTGATCCTCTTCAGGAGGCTGAAGGTGTAGCATATTTTTAACTGTAGATTTTTTATCAATATTATGCCATTTTTTTTATTTCACATTCTTTTCTCTGTTCTCATGTGTTACTTAGGCATGTGTATTAGCTCCCTAATACACGTTAAGCCTGTACTGCGTTCCTCTTGTTTTTCTTCCAGTTTCTATGACCTTTTTCAAGTGTATTACACTTGAAAATGCCACATGCTCTTTTGTATTACTACCCAGTTTTCATCCATTTCTTTTCCATTGCAGCATTGTCCATTTTCTTCCTGTGGCTTCTACTGAAGGGAGAAGTGCTGTCTCCCTCTTGAACCTTGTAGCCCCTGCTGAGTGCTGCTTCTTTTACAAAATGTTTGTATATCTAGCCCTTATTTGCTTGCCATTCATTTGTTATTTGTAGTGTAAACCCCACAGGAAAGGAATCTTCTCTCCACATACATATTCCTGGATTACTGACTGCATTGAAATCTTGCTCTTGGCTATGGGGCTTTTGTGCACCAGTGCGATATAAGATAGGACAGGTGAACCATTTATATATGAAGTTATATTTTCCCTAGAGAAATTGCATCTACTTAACATACATCAGCATACAACTATTATGGGATAAGTGATAATTTTGAAGAAAAAATAGCTTTAATTCATACAAAACTACAGGGGACAAAAGATGTATATTAAACATTTTTCTTTTCATTTTTCAGCTAGTCTATTGGATAGATCAAAACAAGTGAAATTTTCAATGCCTCAGAAACGTTAGTTATGGATTTGAGTGTTTCTTACTTTATTAAGAGCAGATCAAAATATGCTGCAGTATTAAGGTGAAAATGGAGAAAACTTTCACACTGTTTTTCCTGTAATTTGGCACATACTGAAAGAAAACATTTATGCATTGTCAACATGGCAGCTTAGGAGACGGATGTTCAGGACATCAATAATGCACAGTATTATACCTTTTAACTAAAATACTAAAAACATGTAGTAAAAAGATACAGATTTCAGTCTGTGACTAAAATACAAAAGCTACTGAATAGATGCTGCTAGTTTTACTACCTTCGCAACGTAATTGGAGCTGTTTTCAAGCAAGCTACAACATAATAAGCAGTAAAAATTCAATGTCAGTAATATAATTGCGTATCATATATCAGTGTTTCTTAGCGACAAGACAGTCATGTCCAGTGAAGACCATGCTGAAAGTGAAGTAATAAGTATCAGCATAGAATATTTTCACTGAGTGGTTGCACTCCAGATTTTTTCCTCTTTGAAAAAAATGTAAATGTCAAAAATCCTGGCTTCTCTAGATTGGAAGCATGAATCACTGGGTTGCTCTGTTTTGTTTTTAACAATCTGGGTATATTTCGATGGAGACAGTGTTCATTAAAACACAAGAAATAGAACTGTCTTCAAAATACCTTAGTTATCTTTGTTACGTTAGCTTGGCTCCCTGGTTAGGAAGGCTGGCTGCCACCTTAAATCTCATACAGATAAAATCTAGCGATGCACTCACAGTGCTGACTATGCGTATTTGTATATATGTCATCACTTGAAGGAGAAAAATGGGTTTCTCTCACATTTGAGATGAGATACTCTGCCTGAGACATGTTCACAAAGCTTCTCCGTACATGTTCAACCTTTTCCTGAAAGCAGATAAACCTTCTGTATTTCAGCATCCCTAGAGGAATGAATTCAGTCAAATGATATAAACAAAAAGCAGGAATATCAAAGATTATAGTAGTAATGCTACTATTGCCATGATATTCTATGTTAACACTTCTGTAATCTTATAATTCTTCATTCATTGCCCACAAGATAAAAACTGTGTGTGAATTAATGCTATTCTAACAGCAACTTGAATTATCAAGATCAAATTGTCAATTGCTATTCACAGAGATGGTTCTATAACCAAAACCCTCACCCCTGTGTGGTCAAAACTTGGAGAAAACCCATCTCCTGGAATTTTTCATGCCTGATGAACTTTTATTTTTCCTTTATGATCAAAGTGTTAGGTAGATGCATGTTTTTTGCTGCCTTGAAAATAGTTATCTTTTGTAACAGGGGAGCATAAGTATATAATAATTGGACTTTGAAAAGTTCAAAGATGAATCTCATCTTGTCGGAAAAAAAGCTTAATATATGCACATAACATTTACTTCCATTGTTTTTTTTCCAGTGTGCAAACATGCATCTAAGATCTGTCAGAAGAGCGTACCCTCCAAAACGGTTGCATTTTGCAGTAATGACAAAGCTCATGGCACTTGAAAATAGCAGACATATATACAATAATGTAGGAGACAATTAACGTACATAAAGAATAAAGCCAATATGCACCCCTAGAAGAAAAAGCACATATCCATGTTTATTCAACCATGCAACTTCCTTCACTACCAAAGTCACAATATCTCCTCAGATTTCTCAAGGGCGTGGAATCATTAAACATGGCAAAACTATGTTTCTGTCTCAAAAACCCCCCGAAGGTTTTATCAAGAGTAGAAAAGAGAGCCCTTCCCCAAAAGCATATTCTTGGACTATGCCTCCTTGTGTAGAAAACACCTCCACACACAAGAGAGAAAATCCTGATGTCATTCAGATACTGACTGTAAAGCTGACTAGATTTATAAATTCCAGTAGAAAAAGTAACTTATTTTTCTGACTCTTGAGAACAATATAGAAACAATCCCACAAAGTACCATTAGACGAAATGGTACTTTGCCCTGTATTATACCGTGGAAGAGATGTCCACTTCAGGGCCAGGCTCAGTGTATGTGGACAGAAGTGGGCACAGATAGCACATATCTGCTTCACACCCCCACACTGAGCACAAACCAGCTTTGGTCAGGAAAACCTGAATTCTCAAAAACATGCCACCAAGCCCAAGGTAACATATCCTATCTCTATACCCTGCCATTTATTTTTGTGTGTAACAGGTTACCCAGTGTCATCAGCAAAGAAATGCAAATTTGTGTGATGTGGCATGTGTGATCTCTATCTGGGAAGGAAAAATATATGAATCACAGAATCACAGAATGCTTAAGGTTGGAAGGGACCTCTAGAGATCATCTAGTCCAACCCCCCTGCACACGCAGGGTCACCTAGAGCACGTGGCACAGGACTGCGTCCAAGCGGGTTTGGAAGATCTCCACAGAAGGAGACTCCACAACCTCTCTGGGCAGCCTGTTCCAGGGCTCTTTCACCCTCACAGTAAAGAAGTTCTTCCTTGCATGGAGATGGAACTTCCTGTGTTTCAGCTTGCACCAGTTACCCCTTGTCCTGACAGTGGCCACCACAGAGAAAGGCCTGGCCCCATCCTCCCTACATTCACCCCTAAGGTACTTGTATCTGTTGATCAGATCCCCCCTCAATCTTCTCTTCTCTGGACTAAACAGGCCCAGCTCGCTTAGTCTTTCCTGATGTGACAAATGCTCCAGTCCCTTTATCATCTTCGTGGCTCTCCGCTGGACCCTCTCTAGCAGCTCAATGTCCTCCTTGTACTGGGGAGCCCAGAACTGCACGCAATACTCCAGGTGCGGCCTCACCAGAGCTGAGTAGAGGGGGAAGATCCCCTCC